TGGGTAGATATATCATGTACTTTATGAATTTGTAAGTGATGGCATACAGCTAGGCGCATTACTTACTATGATAAATACATGCAATCACTATTTTGTTTTCGAAGCACTATGTAATAACCCACCAAAGGCTAAAACTGCAGTATAGCAGCAAAAAGGACGAACCCACAGGGACAGAGGCAACACATAGAGTACAAAGTGTCACGTTTTAATAGACAATTGAAGAGTTTGAATTCTCAGTCGACTGTCACTCCCAGAACTGCAAGTGCTCAACTCGGAGGTCACTCGGAGGACGCACAGTGCAGCGTAGTTCACCCCAACACACACCTGAAACTATAAAAAACACAACTCAGAGGTCGGTTAGGAGCTCCACTTAAGGTTCAAGGGGAAAGTTTCTCAAGAGTACACTCACAAGGTCTGTAGGTAAAGTTCCCCAACTCCGGATTGTTAACTCTGACTGCTAGTGCAGTGCACCCGGGTTGGACTTCCTACTTTGGATGCGGTAACTTTGTCAAACCGAAGTCACTCTTACGCGGTGAACAACACAATCAACTCAAAAAACGCGTAGAGAATACAGGTCTTCAAACTGAGAAACTCGATTGAGAAAAGATCTAGTGTAACAACTTAACAGTCTATTGACGAGTTTGAATTCTTAGGCACTAATCATCCCCAGAAATATTGCGGAGGCTACCCCCGAAGGCGCCTCAAGCAGCGTACAACCTGAATTGTTAACCAAGGTTTACTCGAAGTAACAAAACTTCACTTTGGCATTCAGGGGGAAAAATCCCGAAGTAGTACAAACAAGAACAATCACCCGAAGGTGTAAGTTCAAACTGCTCAAGTTCTAACCATACTACACTAGCTCAGAGCATTAGGTCGAAGGCCTTCAGCTACAAAATGCGGTAACTTCGCCAAGCTGTAGCTCCTCTTGCGTGGTGACAGAACTAAGGACACAAACGCGCAGAGAAAATGAGTTCATGAACTGCAATTCCAAAATTGGAAAATCCTCAAGGCAAAACGCCTTGAACTACTTTATACCTTCTAAGTCCTAACTACCTAACAATCTACTCTACGCTACCCTACATGTCATCTGTTATGCCTCCTATGCGAAGGTCGACCGCGTACTGTCTCCATACCCGACCAGTCTTCTGCTCTATTGCGCAATCCCAGCCGCCGCAAGACCGCACTCACCTCTACCTCGAGGTTCGCAATGGCGTCTCGCGACCTCGCCGGGAAGGAATCTAGCCACTTCGCCACTCGCCGCCGGCTCCGACTGTCACCCGACATCAAGGCCGCCGCATGAATCTCTAACTCCCGCAAGGTCATTCTCTCTCGCGCTGCCACCTCCTAGAGAGTGTAACCTCTCAAACACTGATTCATCCGTGCGACTAACTCCTCTCGCGTGCGATCTGTCGTGTGCCGGTTGTCGCCTTCAAATTCCATTAACTGCAGATCGGCATCCGCACGCTGCGCTCTCAATTCGTCGCACTGCGATTGCAGGCGACGTAGTAACTCTTCATCTGCCTTGCGTGCGATCTGACAATGCTCCAGCAATCGTGTCTGTCGCACGAGCTACTCTGCCAAGGTGCTATTCTGAATTCGCTCTGAATGAAGCTCCGCCTCGATGCGCGCTGCTTCGCGAATTTGCGCTGGGCTTCGGCTGCTGCGTCATCGCGCAGCTGCAGTACTACCTTCTGCAGTTTCAGCGAGAGTGTAAGATGTATGTGCAGAACATTGTGCTTCTTCTCCAACTCTCTGTACTTGTGGTCCAGGGAAATCAGTACAGGATTCGTCGCGACTTTGATTCGCGTCTGATTCCTCACCAACTCGACGTAGGATCCCCGATGGCCGGGATCAGCATACTTCGCCGCCTTGCAATCAAGGTAGCGCAATAGTGATATCACCTGCTCGCACAACACTCTTGTCGGCGTACCTTGCACCGACTTCACTTCTTGCCCTTCCGAACTCGACTCGTCCTCTGAGTCGAGGTTCTTTGTCGCCACAGAAATCCTCGGCGATTCCCTGGAACTTGATCGCATGACTCCTTCCGATGCGACCGCCGCTCCACTCCCTGCTAAGATGTCCAACGCGGTGGGAGATTTGGCTTCCGGCGGGCCCGCTTCTCCGGCCCAATCTCCTACTGCCGAAGGCGCTCGTGCCGAATGCACACGTGTCTCATCCTTCCGGCCTTCGTCCTTGGTCGATTCCTCAAGTTGGGTTTGCGCCGAAGGCGCTTCCGCCGAAGGCATCTGACCCGAAGTCCTCTGAGCCAAAGACCCTTAAGCCAAAGGCTTCTCCCTACACCTCTCCTGCGCCGAAGGCGCTTGAGCCGAAGTCGAGTCGTCGAAAGGTACTTGCTCCGAGGCGAAGCACCTGTCCATCGTTGGCACACTAGTCGGTGCCGCATGCCGTCTTCCTTGGCCCGAAGGCCTTCTTGCTTCCTCCGAAGGCGTCCGTGCCTTCGATGCAGGGAGGTCCGTTGTCCTCCCGCTAACTCGTGCACTCGCATCCTCCCCCGAGGATGGCGAGTTTCTTCTCTCCACGGCTCGTCCGGTGTCTACGATGCTTGCCGGCAAAACGAGCTTGCGAGCTTTCTGCCTCGGCCGACTGGAGGTCTCATGAATCGCCCGACTTCGGACGGGAGGAGCAGAAGCTTCTCGCTGACTCTACTCCGCCTCTCCATCCCACTTCCGCTTCCGCGGCACTCGTGCTGCTCGCGGTTCTTCTTCTGCTCTCGGTCGAGCTGGTGGTGTGCATGCGGATGTCTCCTCCGTGTCGGTGTCGACCTCGACATCCTTCACGTACCTGCCCGGATTGCTGCGTGACAGCAAGGGAAACTGCACTCGCTCCGTGGCTGTCAAGCACCCCATCGACCGATAGAAATTAATCAAGAAGGGGGAGAGGTGGTTGATTGATCCCCCTTCTCCTCCTGCGCGTGCTGTCGCGTTGCCTTCCAGAGAATCCGAGCCCAATGGATCGGAGCTCCAGACAACGCCAGCTCCACAAACCCCACCTGCCAAGAAGTCATGTAGGTGGTCTGGTACGGCTGCAAAATTTGAAGGAGTGCTACCGCGACATTCCTCCGCAAGCAATCTTTGTAGTCACGGGTCTTGTACCCGTTCTTGCTGGACTTGCTGTAATTGCTGTTCTTGAATAGGGCTCCGAAGGAAATCTCTTCCTCCTTCGTGACCTGCACACTCTCACATTTGAAAAGAAGGTGGTCTTCTTCTCCCGCGCACCTTCCCAACACTTGCTCCCAGTCGCTGACCTGCCATCTCTCCGGATGCGGTCGGAATCCGCGCGGAGGTTGGTTCTTCTCCCGCAGCCACTCGCGTACCATCTCCGGACACACCCAATTCCATCCCCATAGGAGTAAATCGAGCTTCACCGCAGTCACCTCGTTCTGAAATGCGCGCAAACCAATCTGCGGCACTTTCAGCGGAACCATCCGTAGTTGGGTGGACCGGGCCATCTTCTTGCAAGGGCTTGCTCGCTTAATTCGCTGCTGACGCGAACAACTCCTCTGCACACACTACGGCGCGTCGAGAGCTCGGTTGAACTCGCTGCAATTTCTCTCTATACTTCTCCTGCTTACTCACTCAATCGTTCTACGAGTTCTCCGCGAATTCCCCACCAGACTCCCGCAAGATTCTACTGCTGCGCACTCCACACTCTCGAAAATCCGTGCACTCTTCACACTCCTCACACTAAGAATTCTCTCCGCAAGATTGCTGCGAATTACACTGCTGCGCGTCAAGAGCTCGGTTAACGCGAAATCAAAAATGGGAGATTGAGAGCGCGGTGAGATCTTCCCTTCCTTTGGCGATCAAGATCGCCCAACGTTCAACACTTGGACTGGCCGCAGCTCGCTTGAATGCGATGCCGGCGTGGAGGCGTAACGGCCCAATTTGCACGCTCTGCCGTTGCGCAGACTCCCACGCTTGTACATTCAATCTTGATTTCGCCGATTTCCGTCAAAGCTGTTCTCCGCTCTCGTATCGCCGAAGGCGCTTGCGGCGAAGACACGTCTTCCGCCGACTTCTTTGTCCTTTCCGCTTCTGCCGAAGGCGCTCCGCCAAGGGCGAGTCCTTCCGCTTAAGGCGCATCTTTCTATCGAAGGGGGATCCTAGAGGCGAAGGCCTTCCGTACGCCAAAGGCGAAAACTATCGACGAAGGCGGCGCTAGCGACGAAGGTGTTGGGGCGAAGTAACTTACCGCCAAAGGCTTACCGCCAAAGGCGTACAAAATGACGAGGTCGTTTTCCCTAAGACGAAGGCGTCCGTTGCGCATGCTTCCTGCGTCCTCAGCGACATCTCCTCTGGAGGCGTCTGCGCCGAAGGCACTTCCTTTTGCTTGCGCCGAAGGCGCATTGCCGAAGACACCTTAGCAAAGGAGCTGTTGCCAAAGGCAATCTCCTCAGTAGAAACCGTCTGCGCCGAAGGCGCTGGACCTCGGCCTTAGCCCCTCCCAACTCCTGGATTCTCCGTGACCCGCGATCCTCCTTTTTCACTCTATTTTATGTACCGATTACTATTTACAGTTGCGGCCTCGGTTCTTGTTTTCCACAAATGTTTAAATTCCGCACAAAAACAAAAAGTGGGTTAGCACACACTAGAAGTCAATTTTGCTACATTGTTTCTTGAAGTACTCCGGTCACGACAGTTATTGTACTTTCTTAGAAGTACAGGGTATGAATATGCTCCGATCCAATGTTGACAGACAAGTTTTGCATTTCAGCACTATCTCCCTCAAATTTTGATTATATATAAATTCCGACTTCTCCAGTCGTAAATCTGTTCTAGAGATTTCAAGTAACGTCACTACATTTCTTCTGCGTCTAATTGTCTCTCGGATATTCTTACGAGATATTCTTCTTCCACCTCTTCCGAGAAATATCCGAGAGATATTCTTACATGTCACCTTTTCTCGTTGCTGTAGCTTACCTTTCTCAATATCAGTATTCTATCAACTGAAAGAAGGTCAACTCTCCACACCATTTGATGTCCATTTTATGAAATTGCCCATCTGTTACAAAGTAGCGATGAAAAAAAGTTCCATTATCAAACAAAACAAATTGATACACTTAGCATTAAGACTGTATGTGTGCTCCTCTGAGTGCAGTGGGTGTATGGCGGTCAAAGATACTACTAAGACGAAGTTTTAGCTTGTATCAATTTTTCTGCGAGGAATGGGGTCCACAAACAAATAACAGCTGAAGGGAAGCAAAAAAGTAGAAAATAGGATGGGCAGATCATGTGTGCGCAGTGACAAGCAACATCGTGGACATTAATTTGATTCTTCGGGTTCCCATGATCGCCGATCTCCTGCATTGGTATTGACTTTGAAGTTTGAAGTGCCCCGATCTTTTCCTGCCACCTTCAATCTGTCCGCTGCAATGAAAGCAGCGCATTTCTTCTCGAAAATTTCGAGGCATTCACAATCTCGAAAGTTCTGATGTGGCTCCCAAGTGGCCGGTGTAAACCCAGATTCATTTAACCTGTAATTGGATAGATAGGACGATAGGTTTAATATAGGAGTCAACCTATGTAGCTCATTACTTTGAACCAACCGGGTCACGCCAAAAAAAAAAAAACAACTAGACTATTAAGGAAGTTTCCAGCTCAGATTCTAGTTTGAATATACATAGACTTGTGATCATTGAACACTCAAGCAACAAAGACCAGAAGAAACTTTGTGAACTGTATCCAAAGTAATGTCATGAAAAGTGGAAATAGAAAACCACCTACCATTTGACATAATACTCCACTCTTCCCTGTCAACATGTTGCAGGAAGCCAAAGTAGGTCAGAAGTTTTCTGCCACTAAATTAACAATACTGTATATTACATGGCTAGCTGTATCCAAGAATTCAACCACGTAAGAATTCAATGATCAACTTGAATGCCCACATATCAGGAAGGCAAAGAAGTCAACGGAGAACTAAGTGACGAGAACAACAACTAATGTTCCGACCAAGCAAATCAATGAAGGCGGGTACCAACAGCATGATACGAAATTAGTCGGTTCAAATGCTTGTCAACTATTATTACCTTACGGAGTCGTTTGGCCCTGATGGCTTTCACAGGGTGAGGCTCTCTATAGCCAGGTCCTACGAGTTCACTTTCTGCCTTATTGATGTCTACGGATCCAAGCCGGTCAACAAGCTCATACGAGGCATCAGGTGTCTCTCCCTCGAAACAAAATGATACACGTTGGTGTCCCATACAGCCTCCTCCTCTCCGTCCACGAAACTCCTTCCACGACTTATAATTTTCTACGCATGAATCTTCTACATTTCTCTCGGCATGAGATGGTGCAGGGTGAGGAATGTTTCGCTGAGTGACGTCTGCCTTGGTTATACACGGATTAGGGGTTGGAGTTATCTGGGGAGAGTCGATCACAGCCTTAGCTGAACCTTCATGGTTTATTTCACCCTTGCTTTCAAAGATTGCGATTTCATAATCATGACGCGTCATCTCCGAGTTCCTGGTGTGGCGAACCTCAATCTTTTGGCTGTCGGAGGCTCCAGAAATATTGCCCAAGGTCCGAGCCTCCGGGCCCTGGATTGAGAAAATTTACTCAGTTCTTAGCTCAGGATCTAATTTGGCGGACCTGTTCAACATGCGGAGATCGACCAACTGAACAGCACCGAAGGAGGTGCTATATCTCTACAGTTTAATTTGGAAGGTACGTACGATCCTTTCTAATGTGAATGTTTCTACCTACACTGGTAACAGATCCTCACTATACACTATCAAATGTTCTAGAAGTCAGAGGGACTAAAAAGGGATGAAGACAGGCCCACCTGCGACGTCTTCAGAACTTGTTCTACATGGTTGATGGCGGCATTAACAGAACTATTTGAAAGCTTCTGCGTACTTGACAGAACTATCTCCCAAGTCTTTGTTCCGTCGCTTTTGATTTCGAATTTGGTCGAAATACAAGAGCTGCAACCTTTCGGCGTGTGACGATGTCTTGTTAACTCCTTACCTTGAAATGTTTCATACTCTTGTAATTCATTGCATATGTGAGATATCGTATTCTTCATCTGGAAGTGCGGAATTTTCTTCTCTTTTTCCTCCGGATTAGATTTTAACGAATGGATGGATTTAAAGTTCAGATCTTCAGCAGGTGTGTAAACAGGTGTGACAACATGTGTGGCCTCGTTGGAAGGTGCCTCAGCAGTTGTCAGCACAGTTGCGTCGTCTTCAGGAGGTGCGAGTCCAGTTGTGAAGTCAGGAGGTGGGTAGTTGTCCTCTGAGTCCGAAGTCCAGTAGCCGTATCCTCGTCCATTATTCCATCTACTTTCATCATAATCATCATTCCAATGATCGATTGATTTAGATTCATAGATAGAACTCTTTCCATCGTCGTATGGTGCAATATAGTTGGATCGCCAAACTTCATGTTGGGGAGGAAACACCCCATCGTCGAATGGTGCACTATTGTTGGGTCGCTGAACTTCAGATTGGAAAGGAAACACTCCATCGTCGAATGGTGCACTATTGTTGGGTCGCTGAACTTCAGATTGGAAAGGAAACACTCCATCGTTGCATGGTGCAATATTGTTGGGTCGCTGAACTTCAGAATCGGTAGAATTCATTCCTACCATCAATGGTTCAACATATTTGGATCTTCCTGCCTTTGCTGTGTTCTCAAAATCCAGAAACCATGGAGACGTTTTGTCAGATACCAGACTTCAGGACTTGAACACGCAGATGCAATACGAAGTTAGTAAATTGAGCAGAGGGATCTATAATCAAAATTCTATCACTGCTACAACAAATGCTTGACCTTAACAAAGACTCAGTAGCTCGGAACGAGTGCAATATAAAACCTAAAGTGTGGACTTTCACGACCTTTTGGAGCATAAGAAGCGACGAGAGCTTTCAACACCTATCTGCAATCGAGATCAAAGATGGATCATTTTCCTGTCTATGAGTAAGAAATAGAGGTAACATGTCGTCCACCCGCAATCAGACGCATTATTTGGTCGACTACAGGGAAACTACTGGCTGTGAAATGCATATGACCCGGTCGCTTTTGTGTAAGCTTTGAACCTTGTTGAGAATGCAATAATTTGCAAACAGTGAAGTGAATATTGAACCGGGATCATTCTGTGGAGTTTGAGAACAATACTTACCTTTCCTGTGATATGATCCTCTTCTCGGCATCTTACAGAGCTCTAGATGAAAATCTTCCAGCTAAATGTTGTTGCTAACAGAGATCGAAATGCTAGCTCGATGAAGGTGAAGCTTCAGCTCGACGCTACTACTATCCGTAGATCCTGCTCGAAGACTGCGAATAGCTTAGGAAAAAAACAGCCGATTGCAAATCTTCTCGTTTTAGTCTGATCTTAAAACAAGCTGTGACACACCAAAACGAAAGGAAGGAAAATTTATATGAAATGCAGTACCCCAAATGAAGTGTCTTCTCATGTCATCTCCCTCTGCTTCCTGCGGACGTGATGTGACCTTCGAACCCGAGCATCTCTTTGGAAGGCCATCGTAACTAGGCTTTCATTGCCCGCATGCGGAAGAGGAGAGGATTGAGGATGAGCAAAGACAAAACGATCGGCCATGACAAAACAATGAGTGGGGTAAGAAAGCCCCATATATGGCACAACGTCCGAAGGGGAATGGTCGCGGATCATTGTCACTACTTCATCATCGACGGTCTGAAGGAAGATTCATATCAATCTACAAAACATAGAAGAACTACACACAATATATGGATAGGAACAAGACAAAAATAATCTAAAAATTCGACCGAAAGGACTAGGATTTTGATTGTCGGCCCGATATTAGATAAACCTCACTAAAGCAGATGGCCCCATGCAGAACATCAAATTCGTGGCTTGAATAACTCTGTGGTACCCCACTTTTGGTATTTTTGCGGAATTTAAAACATTTTTGGAAAACTGTACCGCGGCAGCGGTGTAAATAGCCATCGGTGCATCAAAATAGAGTGGAACTGGATGATCTCGGAGAATCTCGAAGAATCCAGGTGTTGGGCGCAACGTCTGGGACAGACGCCGCTCTAAACGACGGGCTCTGAAGGAGTACTGCTTCGGCGCAAGGCGCATAATCCGCCTTCGGCGCTAGTGAAATCCCTCAGAATCTAATCAATTCCCAAACGCCTTGACTTGGTTAGGGTTTCGTTGGAAAGAACTTGACGCGCTGGTTCTAACGAGCCCAAGAACGCCTAGAACGGATGAGAATTCAGGGAATTGTGACGGTCGAAAGATACGAAGACCTTCGCCTACGCATAGGCGAGGAAAGTTCGCCTACGCATAGGCGAAATAGGGTTTGACATAGGCGGGTAGTCCGCCGAGAATGCCGCCTATGTGGGGTCAGTACAACCTCAATCAGAAATATTACAAACACTTCGACAAGTTGAAGGATGGGCGACTGGAAGAGCTCACCAAGGAGCAGGTGAAGCTCACGGAAGCACTGATTTCTGAGCAGGCTTAGAATCGGAATTTGTTAGAGGAGCTCGTGCGACAGACGCGGTTGTTGGAGCAGTGTCAGCTCGCACGACAGGCGGATGAGGAATTAATCCGCAGGCTGCAATCCGAGTGCGGAGAATTGAGAGCACAGCGTGCGGAGGCCGAATCACAGTTGGTAGTAATTGAAGACGATCGCTTGCGAGAGGCAGATCGCACGAAGGAAGAGATGGCGAGGCGAGTCACACACTGCCTCAAGGGCTACGCCTATTGGGAAGTGGCGCCGCAGGAGAAACTCACACTGCGTGAGTTAGAGCTTCGTGCAGCTGGGTTGTTGACAGGTGATAGTCGGAGTCGGCGGAGAGTGGCGAAGAAGCTGGATTCTTTTCTGTCGAAGGCGCGAGACACCATGGCCACCCTTGAGACGGAGGTTTCCGCGGTGTTGCGGCGATTGGGACTGCGCAGTCGAGCTGAAGACTGGCAGGGTAGAGAGTTAGTGCGCGGCAGTCCGTCGCGTAGGAGGCGAAGCACAGGTTCTGCGGAGTGTAGTGTAGCGTGGTTCCGTGCAGGCGCATAGCATAGTGCAGTGTAGTGCTAGTTAGGACTTAGAAGGTATAAAGTAGTTCAAGGCATCTTGCCTTGGGATTTTTCCCAGTTTCGGAAGTGCAGATCAGGAACTCATTTTCTCTGCGTGTTTGTGTACTTAAGTCCTGTCACCACGCAAGAGGCGCTACACCTTGGCGTTCCGCATTTTGTAGCTGAAGGCCTTGGGCCGAATGTTCAGAGCTAGTACATTGGTTAGAGACTTGAGTAGTTCGGATCTACACCTGCGGGTGATTGCCGATTCTCAGAGCCAGTGACGAGTTAGATACTTGAACAGTTTCGCCCCTACACTTTCGAGTGATTGTTCCTGATTGTACTCCTTCAGGATTTTTCCCCTTAATGCCAAAGTGAAGTTTTGCTACTTCGTGTAAGCCTTGGTTGTAAATTCAGGTTACGTTGCAGCAGGTGCCTTCAGGGTAACCCCTGTAGTATTTCTGGGAATGACAAGTGCCTAAGAATTCAAACTCTTCAATAGACTGTTATGGTGTGTTACTGAAACGTTTCTCAGTGAGTCCTTCCGTGCGGACCTGTGTTCTCTGCGCGTTTTGTGAGTTGAGCGTGTTGTTCACCGCGTGTGAGTGACTTCGATCCGAAGTAGGAAGTCCAACCCAGGTTCTCTACACTAGCAGAAAGCTAGTGGAAGGGTTGTAAAAGCCGGAGTTGGGAGTCACTACCCGCAGCTTCGCTGGGTGTACTCGCAAGAGACTTTCCCCCTGAAATCTTGAGTAGAGGTCCTAACCGATCTCTGGGTTGTGTTTCTGTAGTTTGAGGTGTGTATGTGTGTGTGTGTGTTGTACGCTACACTGTGCGACCTCCGAGTGAGTTCCGAGTGAACACTTGCAGTATTTCTGGGAGTGACAGTCGCCTGAGAATTCAAACTCCTCAATAGTCTGTTAAATGTGACACTTTGTACCCTGTGTGTTCCTCTGTCCCTGTGGGTTTGACCTTTCTACCACTATATTGCAGTTTTAGCCTTTAGTGGGTTATTACAAAATCATAGAAATCAGTAATAAGAGTTACCCATAATATCATATCGACATTTATAAATCTTAACATGTCTGCTTCAAGGCCATTATGAACACTATTATGGGTGAGGAAGGGTATCCTAACGGGAGTTTGAGTCCTTAAGTTTCAATTCAGAACCAAATGATTTTAGAAAAAAAGGGAAAATACTCAGCTCAAATCAAGCTAAACATAAAATTTGAACTCATGCTCATCCTCAATGCGGAAAGGATTTGAATAGAGATATTTGCTTGATGGGACCTCATCAAGAATATATTTGCTTGATGTGACCCATCCAGTTTCGTTTTACACGATGGTACCCCACGGACGGTGTGCCATCGATGAGCTCTAATAAATGTTCTAATATTGATATGTTCTTGTATTTGAAACTAAATTCAACTTCCGCGAGGTAGCAGCAGAGTGAGAATTTCGACGGGGGATCAGACCACAGAGTGGACTGAAACCCTTGGGCGAGTGCTGGAGATTCAAAGCAGGTGCAGAGCTCAGGGCGACAAATGCCCTTAGCTGGTCTGCCATTTCACTTCCACAACCCCAATGCCAATCTCTCTCACTTTCCCACGACCGAACCAAACTATACCAGCCCAATCGAGCCTGCCTTTTTCCCCAGTTAGATGCGCCAATCTTTGCACCTGCTTCAAGAACGCGACTGCGGGATTCTCTTTTCGAACTCATGCCACCCCTCTTTGCGCCGAGCTTAGAAGTACTCAAACCGCGCTGGATGTAAATTCATCAATGTCAGAGTCGCACCGTAGAAATAGGTGCAATGAACCTATATCAGAATGCTTGCGTCTGATTTCCACGCTGATAGCAAGAGAAGGCAACAAACCTTTGGGGACCCAGAACAAATACAAGGCAGCACCGTCTGTTCACACTAGAACATTCAGATGTGTGCCATCTTTGGGGTCCCATCTAGTAAAACGAAACTTGATGGATCCCATCAAGCAAATATGTTCTTGATGGGGTCCCATCAAGCGAATATGTCGATTTGAACATGATCATGTAGAATATCAAATTAGAATCGTCAGGAATGTTAATCAGAGAAGCGTATATATTATTTTGCTCATATTTAATTTTTGATCATTGCAGTACCTATCGTCCCTTTGGGTCCCATCAAGCAAATATGTTCTTGATGGGGTCCCATCAAGCGAATATGTCGATTTGAACATGATCATGTAGAATATCAAATTAGAATAGTCAGGAATGTTAATCAGAGAAGCGTATATATTATTTTGCTCATATTTAATTTTTGATCATTGCAGTACCTATCGTCCCTTTGACTGAACGACGAATAACTCCGTCACGATGTGACTGTGTTACCAATCTATGAAGATCCCGAGGCTATTCTATTATATGAATGTATAGAGTTTGAATTCTTTAGTGTGCAAGCAAGAAATTGGGGAATAAAATATAGAAAGTAACACGCAAAAATATGTCAATATAATATATACAAGATAATTCACAATGATGTAATTCTTAAAACATCCATGGGTCAAAATTTACTCTTGTTAGCAAAGCGGGACTAAAAATCTACTCTTCAAGAATTAAGGTTTCAACTGTTTGGTTTCAAAACAAGATATAAAAACTCTCAAATGTGCTAACATTAAGCACTATTTATACATCATTATCATTTTTCCATGAATTATTTAGCGAAAATTGTGGCTTCATAGTCCATTATCGAGAAAAGTATGCTTTGAGTATTGAAATATCTTGAATAACATTGGCCTAAGGATTTCAGTATCTATGATTTCCGTAGGATAATTTTAATTGACCAACATTGTCAGATTTGATACATCAAAATTTTTTGTGTACAAGAATTATTTTTAGACTAGGATCTACCTCTAGATTTAATATTTTCATAATCTTTATCATTCCATCAGAACCATATTAAGAAATCATTTTTTAAAAACAAAATTTAAGGATTACATGCATAAAGTTTAAAAAATAAAAGGAATCTTAATTATTTTTTTATAAATCATTTATCCAAAAAAAACGTTTAAAATAGTTATAAGTGATTATTTAACTATTATGATGAAATAACAGAAGAAACAATGAGCGCTAAGAAGAAGTCATTCAGCTTAAGGTATAAACATTTTTCTTCTCATGATGTATAAATAGTGCTTACTTTTAGCACATTTGAGAGATTTTATATTTTGTTTTGAAAGCAAACAGTTGAAATCTTAATTCTTGAAGAGTAGATTATTCATCCCGCTTTGCGAACAAGAATAAATTTTGACCCATGGATGTAATTAAAAATTACATCATTGAGATTAAATCAT